ACCTTCGAAAAAGTTTCCTGGACTCTTGATAATAATTTTGAGACTATCTTGGGCTTTTACGAAACCTTTTTGAGGGTTTAGAATTCGTTTCAAAAATGGTTCCGTATGGTGCTATTTTTTTTCCCAGTGTACTGGTTGTTGTAATCCATGTTTGCCCTTGTTGACAATCACATGTATAAAATTTTGATTGAAGCGGGCAATCACACGGTGTATTTGAGCCAGGTAAACGACAAAAAAGGCCAACTTGAGTAGTACAACTTTCATTCTTACCACAATAACCAGCGTATGTCGAAAGTGATTCACATCCAGCATAGGACCAATATATTGACGAAGGACGTAAGCATGTCTGTGTTACATTATCACATGTAAGACCAAATTGCGCATTACATGGTGCCATAGGCGGCGGAGCCATTAGCCTCGCGAGGCTCGAGTCTACCCTAGGTTGAAAGTGGGTAGACCTTGATAGACTGGAACTGGAACAGATAAATGTTTGGATAGGTTGTTATATGCAAAATGGTTTTATTCTTGTTCAGTTTTGGGGCTTTTCTAACAAATAACGCATTATTACAAGATCATTTCATATTTTCTCTACTAGTAACTCGTTCGCAATGAAATATTAGTTGAACGTTTTTGGCATTAAAATTGGCATCTAATTCGTAATTCTTAATTTAAGATAGCTGAATTGTTTCTATAGCTTCTGTTTAAAATTACTTTTAAATCTTAGACACTCGAATAACATTACTTGTACGGCACAAGTTGTGCCGTGCAGAAATGCGAGCCAAACAAAAACGATTAAAAGACGATCAAAATCGTATGCTTATAGTTGGCACTTAAAGTGCTTTTAGTCGATTTCAGTCTGACTTCAACTCTATTTTTTTTCAATGGTGAGACTTGATTTGTCCAAAACGTTGAGCCTACCCTAGATCGAAATCGTTCCGCCGCCTATGCATGGTGCGGCATCTGATCCAACACATGCAACACCCCACAATGAATAAGTTGAAAGCATTATATTTCATTGCAACGTGAACTGGTGTAATATGTATTTTGAGGACATTGACATTATCCATTGGTTTGACAGATGAGGCCTTTACTTCCCATGTAATAAAAACCGCATGAAAATCAGCGGTTAACCGCGGTTTTACCGATCCGGTTACCGGCTCGCATTACCGCAGAACGGATAAATACCGCGGTTTACCGCAAAAAATGATCCGACATTTACCGCGGTAAACCGTCGGTTTTGATTAATACCGCGGTTACCGCTAAAAAAAAGCGGTTAACCGGTTCGTCTATAATTTTTGACAGAAAAAGTCTTCCAAATCATCAATTAAACTATTTTAGTCATGCTTTTTTTTACTTTTACATGTGATAAACATGAGCAAAAAACCGCCGGTTTACCGCGGTTTTACCGGTCCGGTTACCGGCTCCCGGCTCCCATTACCACAGAACGGATAAATACCGCGGTTTACCGCAAAAAATGATCCGGTATTCGCAACATGGGTTGTATCACATTGTTCATTTTTTGAACAAGCCATATTAATTGAGCGCACTCCGAGACGCATATCTGTCTTAGTGTCCCATTAGTTTTGTTCGGGACAAAGACATATTGATGAACTCAAACTACATACTAAACTAGTTCCTGCAGCACATTGAACTTTTTGATCTGCACACGATTCTAAATAAGTTGCAGTTTGACGGAGTCGAACAAGTTCTGCTATAAACCAGCCAATTGCAAGAGAAACAAAGATAATAGTGAAAAATAAAATAATAAAATGGCGTGGATGTGAAGAATGTTCATAATGAATGAATGATTGTAAACGTTTTGAACGAGATCGTCGAGTAGTTACGAGTGGTTCAGTTGATTGAAACAACAGTGGAATATCGTTTGTTGCAGACAAGAACAATGCCACGAATGAAATTTTTGATTAAATAATGAAATCAATGGTTTCCTTTTCTTTTTGTTGTTTCATATATTCTTATTATGTAAATAATAGTTCGTCGACGAGAAACAAACTAAATTGATTTTCTTGGTATGTTCTGTGTGTGTTGATTTCTTACAATCCATTGTTATCACATTGAATTATTCTATTTTTCTTTTATTGTAATACTAACTTAAACAATGATTATGATAGTGATTAAAAACCATCAGAATTAGGCAAGAATTTGACATTAAATCAATGAACAATATATGTACCATTGCATCTTTTATTTATAGAAAATTTTATATATAATTTTTCCTGGTTATGATTTAATTATTCTTCAAATTAAAAGCATTCTTATAGAGAACTTTTTCAGAATTACTCATAGACAACATAAAATGAATTTTACTGATAAAAGTACTTGCCATTTGGAAATATCTGTTCGAGATACAATTTATACGAAAAACAATACAATAATTGTTGAAATAATCAAAGGAGACGTCCTACAGGTAGTTGCATGTGCATGTTTTGATAGGGTTTGGTTGTACGAAGTAAACATTCAAACAAAAAATCAAGTGTAATTTTGAGGTATTAAAATCCAAGGATTTGTTTTCTTAAGTAAATTTGAGAAATAATTTGAAAAACTAATAATCAGAGCAATTTTTTAAATTAAAACGCTTTTTTAGATACTATTCTATCGTTTGCAACCGATCAGTCTATGTTAAACTTATGATAAAGCATTGCTCTTGTAAATGGATCAAACATTTCATGGTTCTTAAATAAAAGATCTGACGATTTTTACCAATCAAATTTTGGAAAAAAACATTTTTTTTTCATTCGAATTCTTCAAAAATTCACAAAGATTTATATATTTAGAATAAATTTCTCAATGGAATTAGCTTTTTCTCATTTCATGTATCGATGACAAGACGTTCAGGTCGAAAAAACATTCGTGTAGATACTTATATGTTGGAATAGAGCATCTAAGAATTAAGTTGATACATAAATATAATCTATTCACTTGGAAAAAACGCATACATGCTCATACCCTTCGGAGAAAATCTAAAATAAATCGGCGTCTTCTGTTTTCCTATTCTCTTCATATCCAATTTACTGAACATTTGACCTATTATATCAAGATAGACTAAAAAATTTCACAAGGCTGAAATTTAGTATAAAATGTTTTCGAGGAGGTTACTCACTTTTCCTATAATATACTGAAATTTTATTAACAAAAAAATGCACGCCTTAAGCTCAAAATACATTCAATATATGATAGCGATGTTAAAACCTTGTTATGGCATAGGTCAACGATTTTATCTATTGAATGTAACTTGAAAGCAAAAGATTCATTCCAAATTTAGTCTTGTCTCATAGAAAAAAAAACTACTATGAATAGTAGTAACTGAAAAAATAGCTTTCTCAAATCACAACGGATTTCGCCCGCAAGATTTCGAATTTTCAATGAAAAGAATTTTTCTTCATGCATCATCATTTCTCCATAGTTAAGAAAATTCCAACTTTCTATATCATTCAAAACTTCTCAATGTGCCATTATTTTTTCATACAAAATCTCTCATGTAAATAGTGAGAGAGCATATGACTAAATATAAACATAATTTATTTCATGCTTGATTGGTTAAACATTACTAAAAAGGAAAGCAATAGAAAAACTATGAATCTGGTCAACACCAACAAGTATTTGTATAGATGAGAAAGAAACTGAAGAAAAATGTCTTTTTTGCATCGAATCGTTTAAAAAAAGTCATGCGGTTTTGAACTCGGAACGAAATACATATAATCTTTCAACTACTGTGAAATTGTTTTAGCCAATAAATAAACACATATGGAAGCATGAATTTTTTCCTAAGAGAAGAAATGAACTCTGAGAGAAAATTATTTATAGATGAGTTTAGCCATCGATTTCTCGTTGAAAGAACGAAACACTTAGAGTTTTTCAATTCAATAGATTGCACAAAAATATCTGGATAGAGTCTTATATAAGCGACAGTAATATTTCAGTTAACTAGGATTTATTGTGTAGTGAAAGCGATGCAACGTCTGTCTATTTAGAGTATGATGATGATGAAGAAGAAGAAATAGATCTGATGATGTCGGTAAGTCACGACTTAGAGTAAACGAATTTGTAGTTGTCAATTATTTAGTCTGATTTAAATAAGAACTGCGAATGTGGCATAAAAAAATTGAGTATGTTTACTTATCATTTGATGTATTTTTAATTGTTTATATTCTAGTGCCTGATTTACAGTCCGGCGAGGATGAATTGTCTATGCATCAGCAAGAAAAAATGGCGAAAAAATTTTCAGAGGTTTTCTTGGAAAGATATCCAAAATCAAAATTGGAATTTTTTATCGAGTCATTAGATCAAGCACTATACAATTCTACTTTTAAATCTGAAAATGTAAGTTAACCGTTTCTGTTTCATTTTAAAGTAAAACGATAATTTTCCAGCCTCGTCCTTTGATGCTTTGGATTCATCATGAGAGTAGTATTTGTAAACACACGTAGTCTATAATCGAATCCTTAGTTCAAAAAAAATTGTCGATTTTATCAACGAACACTTTGTTATATGGCCTTGGGTTCGAACAAATAAGAACAATTATCGACAGTAAGTAACAATAAAATGATTACAAAATATATTCTTACATAATATTTCTAGACTTTTAAAATTATTAATTTCAGGGGTAGGCTCTGAAGCTGCATCAGATATAGCTACAAATTTATTTTCAATAGATCATTATCCATTGTTTGTTTGTCTTTCATTTCAATCCGACGAATTTATTGTGGAATGTGTCATTAACAGTACTGAACTGAATGAAAAGAAATTATTCGATACTCTTTTTAACGTATGTGTTGTGATAGCAACTATCCAGATAGAGCGCGTCGTATAGCGGGTCCATTACAAATTCAAACATGATATATACCACACATAGTTGCTTAGAGCAAATCTCTCCACTATTTGATCATATAGAAGAAATTCGAGATTTAGATATTCAACAAGTAAACCTGATTCAAATTCAAAAAGTTGAAAATATCATATGACTTATAGAATATTTACGTAAGAGAAAATCGATGAATGATCGAATCGGGTTTAGCTCCAATGAAAAAATACTTTACTATGAATGTCCTTCATCACAGGCTCCAACAATTCTTAAATATGGATTTAGCCATAAAAGTGATCAAATACATGGTTGGTTTTCTTTTAAAATATAACAATTTTGATGATGAAATTTGGTTATTCTAGGAGATAAATACGGATGTGGATTTTGTTTTTCATCGAAGCGCGATGTCTATGGACGATATAGTTTTTCTGACGCAACAAATCCGATAAAAAACGCAATAATTGTTTGTCGAGTGCTAGTTGGCAAGTCTTGTATAGGAAATTCTAATTTAAGATCCATGTCCTGGTGACTGTAACTCAATGACAGATGGTTCAACCACTTTTGTTGTTCGTTCCAATCGACAAATTTTACCTCTGTTTCTTGTTATTTATAATAAATAAATAAATAAATTCAGATTACTGTTTCTATTCATTCAATTAATTACGATTGATATCATTCAAAAAAGAAGAATTACATATAAAAACTAAAAACAATCAAAAAATAGAAAAATTCATGAATGATGTTCAAAAAATTTTTCAATGGCTATTTCAAGTTGACGAGGTTCATATCGAATATATTTTTCACGATTTTTCGTAAAATCTTTATGTGCAAATTTACTATAGTAGCTTTTATATAATTCAACAATTATATTTTTTCCTTCATTTCGTAAACGATTGCGTAAGTCGACATCACTAACAATATATTGTTCACTTTGCTGTCGAATAGTATCGATAGCTGTATTTACCAATGAAAAACTTTCTTTCAATGTTTCCCGATCACGATCACGTAACTAAATTATATCAACAGAAATAAGAATCGCGTTTAAATCAATAACTAACCTTTGCATCAGATAAACGATTATTGTTATCGTATTCAAGCATTTGATGAATAGGAATAATTACTGAACTGTAACTAGAAAACGAAACGAAATGAAATGTTTTGTGTTGGTAAATTTTAATTTTGAGTTATAATTAATTTCCTTGATAAACATCGATAGTTACAAGAAACTCTTCAAATTTTGCACTAGAACAAGAATTTGCTCATACAAAGACCTATAACTCAACAAACAAAGTTTAAAAAAACTTCGCTTTTTCAGTAGTCATCATCGCCGATGTGATAGTTACGAACGCTGCCAGGTCAGCTAAATCTTACATTCGTCTCGGTTTTGTCGAGTGTGCAAACTCTCTAATGATGAGCATAATAAAATATTTCTTATCACTTCAAGGCAATTTTTCACAAGCGAAACAAAGGACTGTCGTTCATCCGGGATCAAAAAGCCTGTAGCAAAAAGGTATTTTTTTAAATGACGACAACTCTCATGTATGAAATCATTTGCTGCGGAAATCTACACTTATGAAACTAATGATAAACTACCATTTTGTATATTCGTTCAAAGTATTTTGAAAATCCGCTTCATATTTTGATTTAAAATCTGGCTCACATCGTTGAATCAGCGCCAAAAGAGGTGACCTAAATCAAATATACAACACATTAATATCATTCAGAAATACGCAATACTTTTCAAGACGTTTAAGAAGATAATTAATATTATTAAGAAGAAATATTGATCGAATTGTTGTATCAGTACGTGCTGTGTGACCATCAATTTTCTTTGATAGATTACCATAAAGTGATCGAACTAATCGAGCTAAATAAAATAATATTATCAACATTAATCTCTCTCTCTCTCTCTTGGCAAAAACGACATACCAAAATAAGCTCCTAGATCATAGAGACCTTTCTCTGCTCCTGATAAACCACCACTACTCGTTCCTAATGAATGAAAATAATCTTTATTATTTTAAATCTGAAATAACTTTCTTATTCGTACGTTGTTCTTGTTGAACAAAAAGCGAAGCAATTATTGTTGCAATAACTTCATAAATTAATAAGCCTTCCATAAATGCCAAAACATGCGATGTTAATGGATGCACATTGCCACCTTGGCTCAGTGGTGATGCATCTGAATTAACTTCTTCTAAAATTGCTCGAAGACAAGTAACTGCCTTCAATAAATGAACATAATGGCATAGATAGGAAATGATCTATTTCATTTGTTTTTACCGAATGTTCGAATGTTGCTGAAAGTGTAGTAAATTGTTGCTGTCGAGTAACGTCACTTTCCTTCAAAATATACAAACAATTGTGAAGAAGATTTTAATTTGTTTCTTTGTTCAATTACTTGATAAAATTTAGAAAATGTTGCTCGTGATTGAAAAAACCATCTTAGAATTGAAAAAATTCCATAAATTGCTAATTTACCAGAATCTAATTTGTGTGGTAATCGTTCAATTGATTCACACAAACGTTGAGCTTCTTCATGCATATGTACTAATGGTAATTCAACCAGTTTAGTAAAAACCAGTGCTTGTAACTCAGTAGGAAAAACATAATTAAGTAAATCACGGTCGCGTTGCAAGAGAATTATAAATGCATCAAGTAATAACTTATAATTATTTGTATCACGATCGTCGCTGGAATCAAACATAGCATTATCTTCTATTATTGATAATGATGTTGACACAGGAGAACTTCCACCTCGAGGTAATATATTACCACCGGATGGTCGCATAAAACGACGCCCCATATCACTAAATTAATTTTTGAAAAATTCTTTAAATAACATACATTTACTGATTCTACATCAATAGAAGTTCGTGTTTACAACAAATTACAAGTTACGTGTATTTTTCTTCTCATCATTGTTTTCATTCTTTGAAAAGTTTGATGCTTTGTTCTGAATCAACAGAATGTAAAATATCTTTCATATAAAATACTAATCCTTCCATGTCACATCATCAGTCAACTATGTAAACTATTATAGACTTTTTTGTTTCTAGTTAACCATAGAATTTCCGGTTCGTATTCAAGTCTCTAATTTTTCTCACATCAAAAAAGCAACAAATGTATGATATTAGTTCGTTTTCTTTTTTTTACCTTTTAGGTAAAAAATTAACTGCTTATGTGCGCCTATGAAAGATCAGGAAGACACAAGGGTAATATGTACTTTGGAGATAATAAAATGAATAAAGAAAAATCTATTCCTATACCCGAATAGTTTCCCTGAACGTTTCGTTGCATCTGCTGCCGATAGGCCACTCTGTAACATATGTGGACTCTGTATAATAACATTTGTTGAGCCACGACGAACTGCTTGTTTGCCTAAATGTTCTGCAAGGCTAAACAGCAAAAAAACAAAAGCACATTGAACTATTTTTGAATTTTCGTTTGTTACAGTTGCAGAGAACGTCGAATCATCATGCCTCGTTTCGTTGCATAGGAATCGATAAGACCCTGTCGAAAACCATGAGAAATAAACCATTCTATTATCATTCTCAAATTACCCATATCGACTTCTAAAATTTCAATTTTTCAATCAAGCCATAGTTGATTTATTTTCTTTATTATCTCACCTTGCATGGTATGAATATTGTTTCTATTTGTTTCGGACATTTCACATAATTCAGTTAACTCTTTCGGTGACAATGGATTAGCGTATCGTAAAATAAGTTTATCTGTTTCTTCAACAAGCCGTTGTCGTCCGAGATCAAATAATTGTACAACACGTTCACGTTCACTGACAGAAGTAGTACTTTTGAAATATTTAACGGCATCTTGAAGACGATCCAATTCTAACAGATACTCAGCTAAATTTCCGCCTGGACCCGAGGATACTGTTGTTTGTAATTCACTACATATCTCATAAAAGTGAAGGATAGAATCAACTAATGATAAACTTTGATCGACATTATTCAAGAGAAAACCTAATTCGTTCGTTGCTTCATATACAGGTGTTACTAGTTCATCTAATGATTCAAGTTTTCGTTCGAAATTATCAAGTGTTGATACCATACCACTTGTTAATACATTCGAACGTGTTAATGATTCTTGCAATAATGCTAGACGCCGTTTTTCCTTTTAAAGAATAGGAAATTACAAATATTAGATGAATATTTTTCCATTAGATATAACATAGAAAATCATTACCCTTTTAATCATGTCATGATTAAGGTATTAAGAAAAAATTAACCTTTGTGTAAGGAATTCCGCTCAAAGAATATGACCTTTCATTTTTTTGCTCGCTTCATCATGTTCATCTAACATATGTCATCAACTACAACTCTCAATCTAATCGGAGAAAATACCAACACTTTTTCTTTTAGAATATTCTTTAACGAGAGACCAAAGATGTTTTTCGGAGCGAAAATTACTAAAAAATATTATTCCGATGTTTATGGTCAAATCGAAACGAGATAATAATAAATCTACGTCATTCAAATGAGATATCTCAAAATTAGAACTTGTCACGTTCGACATGTGTCGAAACAGATCTGGATTCAAACCATAAGAGCTTTGTTGGAAGCCACGAATTTCCTCTCGATGAAACCGTTACAGAATATTTATATAATTATATATGTCTTTTCTTGTTTCATATTTAAATCGTCATCAACGTATGAAACTTTTGCTCACCTCTTGCAGTTTTACTTCTGATGAACGTATACTCGTCTTGGTATCTGCACCGGTGGTCATCTTATTATCCTCTTCGTTCGAAAAATCTGAAAAAAGAATCATTTTCGCTTTAAAACGACAGATTAATGTATATTTATACATATCAAATATATCTTACAAACGAAGAGAAACATAAAGAAAACGATATATCGTGCAAAGCAAAACAAAAAATTAGAGAAATAATTCATATCTTTAAAAAAGGATGCATTTTTTCTTCTTTTCTTTTGGCTTCGGACATAGATGAGCACGTATAGCTTCATCAAACACTGTCTTGAGACCTTTTTGTGTTAACGCAGAACATTCTAAATATTTTACTGCACTGATTTCTTTACGCATAGCTTCACCTTGAAGGATCGATATTGGTGCTAGTTTTTTTTCCTAAATAAACATAAAAGAAAAGAAATTAATTAATAGAAGAAAATCTTGAAATTGATTTACTCGAAGTTTTTCAATTGCAACTTTATCATCACGTAGATCGAGTTTTGTACCGACTAGAACAATGGGTGTTTGAGGACAATGATGACTGACTTCGGGATACCACTACATTAAAGAAAAGACATCAAATAAACTTAAATCTAAATCAATAATTTACCTTAGCACGAACATTCTCGAATGAAGCTGGACTAACAAGAGAAAAACAGATAAGAAAAACATCCTGAAAAGAAGAAAAAAATGAAATGAAAATTTTCTTTGTAATAAAATTCTATGACCGTTTGTGGATAGGATAATGGACGGAGTCGATCATAATCTTAAACAAAAGAAAAACAACTCTTATGAAACACACACAAATCCAGTCTTCACTATATAATTATACCTTCTTGACCGGCCTAGAATTAAAAGTAGTATTCAATGAGAGATTAATTTTCAAAAGAGTAATCTTCTTACTGTGTCCCACAAACCAAGATTAATGGGTTTTCCATCAACCATAACATTAGCCGAATAATTATCAAACACCGTTGGTATATATTCACCAGGAAATGTATTCGTCGTATAAGAAATTAATAAGCAAGTTTTACCAACGGCACTAAAAATGTCAAAATAAAAAGATAAGTAACTTTTCTATTAATGAAAATTATTTTAAAAATAATTCATTTACCCATCGCCAACGACTACACATTTGAGTGCTTGCATTTTGTGAGTTTCTTTGAAAGAACTAAGTTTTAATTGATTTCTATTTTCTCAAATAACATACAATATAGCGCTATCATCATCATCATAGCATCTAGAGAGAAAAGTCATGTATTTCATGACAGAAAGAATGAAAAAATAATAATGCTTCTGAACTACAACAAACAAAGAGAAGAAAGAGAAAAAACGAATGAATCATAACATTCACTTTTTATTCACTCACTCGTATTCCGTTTAAAAAAAAAGAATATAACCACTCAAGAAAGAGACAGAGGTCGCACATTTTTGTAAAATTGCATTTTATTATTTTTATTATTAATTTTTTTTCTCCCACCTACGACAGATCTGATACTAATCATCGATTACTTGACAATCGCCTTGGCGTGATTCACTTTTTTCAGTGAACATCTATTTTCACAAAAAGACTATTTGACTTTATGTTTTCTGTTGTTTTCAGATAAAAAAAATGGGTTAGTGTATCATGATTCATACAGATTTCTCTCTCGTCTGTTGCCTACTTACATGGAAATGTCTGCACACGATTTCAATAATATTTGGCCTACAATTTCTGATCCTGTTGATGTTTAATGCGATGCGAAGCTCGAATCGGATCTTCTCGAGAACGGAAAATCGTAGAAAAGTCGTTGAAACGTGAGATCGAAGTATCATGATCGAACTAAGAACATCTGTTTTCGAATCTTTTAACTGAAGTTCCGTTCTCTCAGAAATGTGGTTCCAAAATGACGAAAATGAAAGAAATTTATCAAGAGATAATTAAAGTGACGTCACGAACATATGATAGGCACTATAGTCTATTCATTTACAGCTGCTGATCTAAGATAATAAATCATGGAGATAATTAATCGATCAATCGAAATCGATCCTTAAGAATGTATTGCTAAGTAAGAATAGAGTTTTCTCACTGATGAATTTCATCATGTCGACATAAAAAGTATTCAAGATTTCTCTGAATTGTCTCTTCCGAAGATGAGACTTAACATTGCAACACTGTTCTATGACTAAATTTTCATTCGTATATTCGAAAATGTGTGACCTCTACAAGGCAGGTACGCTGAAAATCGAATAGTATACTCTAATGTTAACAGTACTCGTGTAAAATTCACTCCAAGATTTATGATTTAACAAAAAGACTATGTTCGGTTTTTAGTCGTGAAAATGCGTTCTAAACATATTTTCTCGTTAGAAAAAGCTTATTGTGGAAGTACTGTCACGAGAAAAACGTTAATATAGTTTTAAGTTGAACCGTTGATTATTTTTATACATTTGAGTAGTAGAAATCCTTTTCAAATTTCTATTAGAAAATAATCTGGTAACTGTAAAAAACAAGTATAATTAAAGCTCAGAAATGAAAAATATTAAGTCTGCCATCTGAACACAGGAAAACACAATAATTAGTGATGCATGCATGATATGTAATGGAATATTGTTTAGCAATCGTCGCCTGTTGTACTTGTCGTTTAAAAGAATGCTTTACAAGTTGTGACTCGATTTTTCTAGTAAATATTTCTCGCTGAATTATCTTTTTATTTTGTAAAAAGCATATGAAGAGTAATGCTTGCGAATTAATCCTAATAGTTCATTTGGTAAGAAAGATATTCTCCTGGAAATGTCTTTCATGTTCGCAAATAGATTCCTGATTTATAATTTGCTTATTAGAAAATAAATAGAAAACTAAGTATGAGACAATTAATGAATGAGGATTGTAAAATTACTCAGATACTGCTTTTATTTTGCTCATTAATTAAAATCAATGTAAGCAATGTTCTAGATTGATGATATTTTTAGTATACTGATGGAACTATTGGATGGAGAATTTAAGAAATCTCGATTTGAGCAGATTTCTATCAATAATTGTATTGATCTGACTGTAAATTTGATTAATATCAATATTCATCATAAAAAGAAAATAATTAGACCATTTTTACACTGACGTGCTTCAAAGAAAATTCCTAATATGAGTAATGTTTTTCAATTATTTCTTTTTGAATATCATCTTCCTTGTTTTAAGTGCATCCGAATCAATAAAAAACAGTTTAGTAAAACGGAAGCGAGAATTTGTGAAATTAATTCAATTTTCCAGTTGATAGTTTTTATTCCTGATAAAGATTTGCATTATTTAAATCATCGTGTTATTCATTATGTGATTGATTGATGTTATTCAAATTAATATATATATATATATTTCGGTTAGACACATGCGCAATATTTAATCCATTTATGGCCATTTCAATGTTGAAGAAAATTGGCACAGGAATTTATTTTTCATTATACAATCGGTATCTCTAAGACATAAAAATTAGCCTCCGAAATAACAAACCTGTCGATGCTTTAGAAAAAAAACATGTTTTTGTTTTGCCAATAATCTTCTTATTAAACGAGTGGGATGCATTCATTACTAGCTGCTGTGACGTACATGTTTTGCTTCACTCTGTCTCTTTAGAGGCAGTTAGACAAGCACATTCATTAATCACACATACACAGCGCCTCACGACTCCAAGGACAAACCGTTAATGAATGAGTTTTTAATTATGATTCATTAGTAATTTAGCATCATTTCATAGACAAAATAATATCTGCATGCATAAGAGAGTGATAGTAAAAGGATGAATATTGCATGGGAAAGAGAAAAAAAGGTAGGATTCAAGTGCTTCGAATTGATAACAATCAGTTTATATACCGAGCAAAAAGTATCCCGTGTCGATAATTTCAGGTAATCGATAGTTTTTCAAAGATAATTTGTGAGATGGAAATTGATCGTTTTCGAAAACTATAAAAGTTAACTCGTCATAGAAAATTTTTCGAAATTCATGAAAATCTAGATGCAACATAAATAAATTTGCCTTCGTCAGCAATTAATTTCTAGCATTGCGTCTACTGTATATTAATAGGAAACCTTGAACTTATAATGATGTGATTTTTTTTGTTGTTATTGAGAATATTTATCGAGCATAATATTTCATTTTTTATGTTTTGATATATTATTTATGCCACATTTTCTCATAAGGTAAAGCATGCGACTAATTGGTGGCAAATAAGTCCAAGACGAAAAACGATGAATGACATAGATGTTTTTCTTTGTATGACTGTAAATCAATTAGAGTCTTTCCTAGCTATGAGATCAAAGGCTAAACGAATCTTAGCCGTTGAAATAAAGAAAAATTGTCTAGTCCAAAGAATACTCGATGATTAGCGCATTATAAGTATAATTAAGATCAAAGTGGCACCAGTTGTACTTAAAATAGATCAGGTATGCTAATTAATGACAAAAATTTCTCACAAACAAAAATCGAATAGATGGATTTAAGCAACAAGAAATGGTCTTAATTTATCGTATTACGGAAAGGTGCAGGTGAGCGAATCTATTGCTCTTAAGTGAAGATATACTCGTGTAACTCCGATGATAAACGACACGCTTGACAGAAATTTTTCTCTATCATTTGACGTAAAGAGGAACAGAAGGAAAAAACATGTTTAGGTTTGACTAGAAACGTTTTCCTACTAAATTTGCTCGAAAACATATTGTCATTAGATTGAAGGACATATGCTAAACAAGAAAAAAGTTTTCTTTTCTTCTAAAAAGGAAGTACATCGGATATCTATCAAGAAAAAATATGTCCATCATTCATAGCTTTGATTAGCGTGTCTACTGAATCCAACAGATAGATAAAAGTAATAAATAAAAATAAGAGCGTATTCGGCTTTGAAATCGGTATGATGGAAAAAGAAAGAAAGAAAAAATATCGAAAGGAAAAAATGTCGAAAATAAAATTAATACGCATGCAGATGGATAGAAATGCTGAAAACGAGAGTATATTGAAGCACAAGTCGCCCTCACCCTCAATTCAATCTTACATACTCATATTCATCTCATATTCTTTTTTTCGACATTTCTATTTTCGATATTTTTCCTTTTTTCATCCATTCTTGAAATCTACTCTCTACATAGAAAACTTCGATTTAGAAATGTTACGAGTTCAGAAGAAAACGTCGAAACTAATATAGAATAGTCGATGCATTTTTATTTACTTTTAAGCTTGTTTAACGTTTTTTTCATGACATTCATCCTACTTCTTAATAACCCATATTAGCGTAATAGTCTCATCATGGGTACATTCAGCATGAATGCTTTCCTGTTATCCACGTACTAGTTCGAAAATAATTTCAGGTATAACTCGATCCTTTCAATATTACTATTCTGTCCTTGTAGTTTGTTGTTGACAAGTTTTTTGCTTATAAAATACAACGAATATCATATTATTCAATAGTCACATATTGATGCTCTCTAGTATCGAAAAGCATTAGAATTTCTACTAGATAAACTAAACCCAATTGATCGATGAGAACTTTAGTTTTTGTGCAAGCAGTTCTTCTTTCATTTGATCTGCTTGTGTTGAAATACCAACTTTTTTGTTTTTAAAAGGAATAAACACCTGTGAAGCACACAGTGCCCGTGAATATGAGTATCACGTTTCGAATGGTTCTGTTTTTATACTTGATCATATTTGAATTAATGTAAGAATCAATTATTGATTCAGCTACTTCGTATAGATGTGTAAAGTTACAATTGAAGTTTCGTAACATTATCAATAGTAAAATGTTTATCTATGATTTTGTTTTTTTAATAAAAATTATTATTCCTTTCAATAGATGTCTCAACTTTGTCAATTCAGGATACGTTCTACTGTTACAGCCAATGAATCACTTTATTTTGACAGCTACTAAAAATTTACATCTGGCCTATTATTGGCAGCAGGGCATTTAATTGTTTTTACAACTGGATTAACGATGACAAGCGATACATGTCTTGGTTGTCCTTGTCCACCAACGGTTTCAATTTTTCGAAGAGTAGGTTCAGCTCTATTTTATGGTGTTTGTTCATGTCTAATCACCGTTGTTAACAAACTTGTACTTACATCTTACGAGTACGTACTTTTTTTTGTTGTTGTCGAGGTTGTTGTCTCAGCAGTTTCGTACCCCTATTACACAACAGGTTCCCCTCATTTCAACTGCTTGCCATTGGACAGGTAGGTGAAAAACATGAATAAAAAATATCCTAGTTTTCTAAACGCATGCCGAGTGTTGAAATCTACTAACCTAATTTTTTAACATTTTACTGTTCTACTAAAACACTTGCTGTTACATGATCATTCTTTTCCTTTTATTTAGTTAACCGTCTCCATTGTTGTACTATATGTCGCACGATCTTTTGGACTTATCCGTTTCCCTCATTTCTCTGAAAGTATTATTAACAAAGTACGTAATATCATAAACCTTTTATTTTTCTTTCAAAATTTTATCCTATATAGATTATGCCACTACCTTTGCTATTCTTTGGTAATCTACTGTTCGGTCTTGCTGGAACCCAAGCAGTCAGGTAGTTTTCGTTATTTTTTCTTTATATAACTGTTTAAGTTTCATATCTAATAAATAGTTTGCCAATGTTTACTGTTTTACGACGTTTTTCAATATGGCTAACGATGATTGGCGAACAGATTTATTTAATGTAAAATGTCCGTAGAGGATTTTTTCTCATATATTATTTTTTTTACATTTAGGCAATCTCAATCTTTAATTGCGCAAGCTAGTGTTTATATAATGTTAATTGGTACTATGATTGCTGCTAGTGATGATCTAAGTTTTAGTGGGTTTGGATATGCGTTTCTTATTATTAATAATTTCTGCACAGCTGCTCAAGGTATAATAATCAAACAAAAATTAATTAACAAAGTAAAGATACAATTTTTTTCTGAATCAGAAAATGAATAAAAATTTCTTTTTTTGTTTTTCATTTTTTTCTAGGAATTTAATCAATATGGTCTTTTGTTCTACAATTCATTGGTTGTACTTGGACCAGCAATTGTTTTAGCTGCTTTCACCGATGACCTGAATAAAGTAACGCATATTTGAATTTATGATATAAAACAAGTTATTTTAAATTTACATTTATTTAGGTGTGGAATTATGATGGTTATTCTGATGTTGGCTTTATAATGGCATTTCTTCTATCATCAATACTGGGATTCTTACTAAACTACTCAACAATGCTCTGCACGCATTATAATTCTCCATTGACAACAACTGTTGTCGGCGCTTGCAAAGTTAGTTTCATCAATATATTTTTCTATTGAATCATTTCTATTTTTAAGAATATGTTTGTGACATATTTGGGAATGATTATTGGTGGCGATTATATTTATTCGCATGTGAATTTTCTCGGCCTTAGTATCAGGTAAACATTTTAGTACTATCTCGTTAATAGATAAATGTAAAATTAATATGAGGCAAACAATAGTTTTATTCTTTTATCGGTATTTCTATGTGTGAAGGAGCAACAAGCTTTGATTGCTTGAGAAAAATAAGGGAAGCCATGTTTAATCACAAATGAATTTGCATTTCAAAAGAATAAATGTTGAAGACCTTAAAATGAACTTCATCAAAAGAGAAAAACATTAATTGTTCTTGTATTATTATAATGAGAAGTTATGTATGAAAATTTAAAAAAACTGTGTGTCCCGAAAACAAGACAACTGTCATTTTTAAGGACAAAGGTTAATTTATTCATTTTTCTTCTAGTGTTGCGGGTAGTCTTGTATATTCTTGGGTAACCTTTGCTCGAAAACCACCAACAACAACAGCACATGGCACTGGAATACCACCTGCAACATCAGAGAGTAGAAAAAGTACGCACGATATTGTTTAATTCATTGGTGCTTATGAACGGTGATGGTAGTGCTATGTGTTTGAAACGAAAGATTTACTTTGTTTTTTGTCTATTAAAAATAATGATCCTTTAACACATCTAGTTACTGATGATTAATTACTATTGGAATGTAAATCTGTTTTTTATGTAATTTCGTAGCAATAGCTTAATTAATCAAGTGTTTATTCTGTTCGCATACCTTTGTTTCCCATTCTCAACGCAATAATATCTCATCGTTGTTAGTCTCTCATTCTCTCTCTGTTTCCGTTGCTATGATGTTCTTCAGTATTGTTTTCTTTTTGTTTTATTTCTAAAAAAAATATTACTTTTATGTAGACGATGATCCTACGGCAAGTTTACATGAGCCATAGCATTGCAAGGTGAGACAAAATAGGCATGTCATATTTCTACTGACATAATTCATAGCTGAATGCTCATAAACATGACCAGTAGGCTTTGTATTTCTTTTTTTAACGTTGGTTCGTTTTTTTGTTGTTGTTTTCTAACATCTTTCTTATTTGTTGTTGAGCGTTTTTTTATTTATTTCAAGAAGATAGATAACTGAGTGAGTGAACAAAGCTGAATGCAATCTATCGCTTTTATTTTGCTTCAAATGAATCGATGGCTATGCATATGCATAATGATTAACGTGTGACATTTATGGATTGCTGAAATTCTTGCTTTTTCCATGCATACTGTTCGCTGATATTCATGATACCATATCTTTGTTTATTTAGATGAATGAAACTCATCTATGCTTGTTAAACGGCACATTGTTTATCCTGAAGAATAGTATTAGTATATTATTCTCCGCGTTGGTTTTATGAGATAAATATAATAGAACATTATGCATGAGATGTTATTTATTTATTTTTTACTGTTTTCTTTCTTTTATTAAGTAAATGATTATTTTTCAAGTAAAACAGAAAAAAAAGCACTCAGTGAAAACTATCGGGCAATGATTGCAAGTGGAGAAGCCTTTTTCTTCTTTATTGCTTTGATCAAGAGAGGCGAATCTATTGATCTAGGTTCGAACAAAAGAATAAAAACTAGCACGGACACTTAAGAAAATAAAAAGATCTTGATCGATTTGTTTAGTGATATTTGATCTCGGAAATTTATAATGAATTGAATATGTATATTCAAAACGATGCATATATAAGTATACATTGGAATGACATAGAATACATTTCGCATTCACAATTTCATTAAACTTATGGCGACTGCAATTGTTTTATGTGAGTACTAGTCTTGGTCCCATTGATTTAGATTTTTTCATTTAAAAATAACAAATATTTTTAAAGAAAGTAGATCAATTACAGCTACAGTATATTATCAAAATAAAAACAGGAGATTTCATCAAATGTTTTTCAGGAGATATTCAATATATCTGATGTCGATGAATTGTTTATTGGTTGTAAAAATATTTCAATGATAGAAAAAAATGTGTTTTCTATCGAGATCAGCTTCAGTCATTTTCCTTACAAAGTAAAAATCAGTTTCATTTGAAATTATGCGCAAAATGATGACAAAAACTAACATTAAGAAATTCGATTTCTACCACGCAAAGGAAATTCATTTTTATGCACAGATATTCTATTGGAATTAATCGTTCTACTCAATGGATATACAACAGAATCTCCATTGCCTAGTACATTCCTAGGCTATTCTGTTTACTACGATGATATAGATTTCAACGATTGCTATGCAGAGACAACAACTGTGATTTCATACGCTGACGAATCAACAACAGACTCGCCATTGAGTATTTCATTTATGGGCTTTCTTATACAGTACTATGACACAAATTCGAGTAACTGTGATGCAACAACAACAACAACGACAGCATACTTAATTTCAACTGAAGCTGTTACAACATTAGCATTGTGAGCATTATTTTTTGATAAATATGAAATTATTGCTAAATAAATATAATTGACTTCTAACAAAAATATTCTTTGTATAGAACAACGTCTATATCCTATACAAATAATGCAGTATTTGTACCTGCAGCATGTCCTTCTGGAACTATTGGTACATCATGTAGTGTCGCTTCAGATCCATGTTCTATGATGAATCCATGTTTAAATTCAGCAACATGCCAATTAAATTTTACCTTAGAGATTGGCTATTATTGTATGTGTGTTACGGGTTTTTCGGGTACATATTGTGAAGTGGACAACCGTCCATGTCGTCCTGGCGTAAATTGTCTTAATGGTGGTGTATGTAGTGGAACTGTTTGTGCATGTCCTACAGGCACAGGTGGTGCTTATTGTCGAAGTAAAGTTAGTATATGTGCAAGCATAAAATGTGAAAATGATGGACAATGTGTATCAAACTATGGTAATTGGTCATGTCGATGTACGAATAATGAACTTTATTCGGGTACGTATTGTGAAATAGAATCATCAAGTATACGCGAGAAAGAAGCTATTTCACGTTCATTGGCCTCTGTTGCAATTGGATGTCTTGTAGCGGTTATGAGTTTTGTAATTCTTATGGATGTATTAAAATATGTGTTTAAAATTGATCCAGTTCATAAGGATGTAGACGCATCGAAAAACAAAAATGAAAACAATGAAAGAAAAAAGAAATCTATCAAACCCAAACAACCAGTTATCGCTGTACGATTTCGATATATTCATGCGTAGAGAATTTGAATATTTTCTTTGATCTTTAAAAGAAATGATTGAAACATTCTCAAAAGATAAATATACTTTGCTTTGTGTAATGTAAAATTTTGTGATTGCTTTTCAATTTAATGATTAATAAAGCAAGATTTATTTTTATTTCAAATTTATTCTGTTATTTTCTAGTCTTTGAATATAATTAATAACGATCTAAATACACGCATCATTCTATTCAAATAATTCTTGAATATAAGGATTAATTGTCTTCCAACATTATTGATTGAGTATAGAGAACAGCTGGAAAAGCACGTTCGTTCTAAGTACGTACAATATTTGATTTGATTATGCTGTAGTAGTGATAAGCAAGCTATAGAGTAATAGATGCAGACGTTTACTTTCTTTTCAACATTAATCATATTCACACCTGTCGTGACAACTGATGAAGTAGTTAAACATTGATGGCAGGAGTGAATATTCAAATAATAATGAAGCAATTATTGTTTTACACATGTACCGTCGTAATGGAATCGGTTAATCTGAATTCTTTTGCTTTTAAAATACATAGTGTTTTATTTGACATATTGCCAAAATAGCAATACGTGAAGATTGAATCACTTACATATGTAGATTGACTAGCTATATGATACTATTGCAATATCATTTTAATCGAGATATCTACCTAAAACACATTATGTAAAACTCAATTATTTAGCAATGAACCACCATAGGGAAAATTCTTTCCAAATTCGAAGTCATATTTCGTAATAGTACGAGAATATATTAATTGTAGAATCAATTGTCAAAAACGTGAACCGATTGGCTACACAATGATGAGTGATTTCAGATTCGAATACAATTGTCAAAGTGCATTTTTTTATTGCTGCTGATAAAAAAAGAATAAAACTAAATACTAAAAGTGTCATTCCTACAGATGAAAATATGGAATAATTTCTGTCTTAGATTTTCGTAGTGATCGATTCATCGTAATGTCTACCTAAGTTTCTACTTTAGCTTGAGGTACATGATCGTATTTTGCAAGCCATTTAAGCTCTTCACGAGCTTTAATTTTGCCATGCCAAGGATTGTTACTAAGCGTATGACCTTCATCAGGAAATAGTAATAATTTCACAGGCACTCCTAAATAAGTTAAGCTACGTTCTAAAATATAGCTTTGATCAGCAGGAACTCGAATATCATTTGTGCCAG